GATGAAGATGAAACGTGGCTGGACATTTCAGCAAGACAATGAGCCCAAACACAAAGCCAAGGAAACTCTCAGTTGGTTTCAGAGAAAGAAACTAAAGCTTCCTGTGAAACAGCTACAAGCTGGACTTGAATAAAAAGATTGAAACCTGAGCAGTTAAAAACATGGAAAAATGCWCAAATAGATTTATCCAYAAAGACGTCTAATCTTGGTCTRATCACTCTCTCCRGACATAGATTTATTAGCTCCAACATCTACAGGCTTCTTCAGAAAAGGACACCGACTCCGTCCTTCTGCAGCTCTCAGCTAAAAAGTGAGACAAACTCAGGATTTGTTCCAGTAATCCTGCTACGAAGCAGGGTTGGTTCACGGAGTAAGTTAACTCAGGATAACAGCTATCTGGCTTTCTGAAACCCAAACCCCAGGATATACACAGTTACCCATCTATGTATATCCTGGGTTTTGGGGTAGCTTACCCCAGAACTTACTCAGGTTTTCCACTTATCCTGCTTTCTGAAACGGGGCTCAGGTGGAATCTCCATCCTGGTTCCAAAATGCCCCCCCCCCCTTCTCCATTGCTACTCCCCACCTCTCCCAAAGATATGTTCAACCTTTATCTCTTTATCAAAATAATAAAATAAGGTGAATCATTACAAATGCTTATGGAAAGGGGGAAAAAAGGAGTTATGCAGAGTTTTATTTAAACTGACTTGTTTTAGTGGGTTTTTTTATAAACAAACAGTAAATATATAATTTCAGAACCTCTATGCGCTCTTTGGTACTCTCGTTTTACTTTTTGGTCAAAAACAAACCAGATTAAAAAAAAAGTTATCCATAATATTTGGTGTTTATAGGCAGAAACCTTCAGGAGATGATCTAAATCCAAGTCACAAAAGAAGAGACAATAATTTCTCAAGTGTCAGAATATATAAAAACGTCCAACTAGAACACAACCCTGTTCACTCCACTGTAGCTAGATACAAAGATGTAATAAAAAGGAGTCATTGTTGAATGTCTTTTTAAAAAGGGTTAATATTCAGTATCGAGGTTGAGCTTTGTCTCATGTTAAAATGTTATTCCCTCATCAAAAGCAGAGTGTCGCTTTAACTCATTCGTGCGTGTTTAAGAAATCCTTGAATCTCCTGTGGTAGCCACGTGGAGCTGCCCTATTTGCTAGTACAAAGCTCCGCCTATTAACCCAAAGCCCCTCCTTTGAGCTCAATCAACAGCTGAGATCTCGCCGCACAGAGCGGCCCACTCAAAAGAATTGTTTGATAGCATGCTGAAGTGGGAGTGTTAGAAACGGTAGGAGGTTCTTAGAGAGACAAAAGGTCAATTTCAAGGTGTTTAGATAGACTTTGATACTATTTTTATTACACACAGCATTTTCATAACAAATGAAGGCAACATAGTTACTTCATTGTGGTAGAATTGATGTGTCTAGAAAATAAATATATATTATATATCCGTTCAAAATACAGTGGTTGTTATAGAGTTTGTTTCAGCTATATAATCAAAACAACTTGTGTGCATTATATATATCATTTTAAAGCAAAGTGAGTACGCTCATCCTTTAAATCCTTCTTTTTTTGGGATCTCTGCTCTTCATTGCTTGGATCAGTACAGTWACACACAGTTAGCCTGCTAAGCATWAGTTTGCCTCTTTTCCATCTGATCAGATCTGTGAGCCTGTTGTGCAGCCAATTAGTTTTACCAAGAAAAGCTGCAAGTTACTGCTAACACGTCCCTGCTTCAGCGCCGGCTCCACAGATGCTGCTTTGCCTTTTTGGATCATCTGCTTACCTTGTCAAATGATATGATTTGTTTTAGATGAAGTACCTTTGAATATCTTTGAATCTACTTTGCTCACTGATACTGAATACCAAGAAAAATGTGAAAGTCACCTCTTGAACCAAGGAGGTGCTGCTTCATTGAAACTGGTTTGTTTCCAATTAGCATCAGAAGGAAAACCTGCAAGTTGTTAAAGTGCTGCATTTTGGGGTTAATCAATCATGCATTTATAAAGAAAAAGGAAATATAAAATCCATACAAGCATTTCTTTGTGTGAACGTCATTGGCTTTTTCATGTAACCGAACCTCCTCATGTTACAGTTTCTTTATTTGTTTTGTTCATCWACTTGTATATGCTGGAAGTCAGGTAAAGGGGTTATAATGTGGTAAGGTTTGATCAGTTTGTTTTTAATTGTTTACTTCCTATAAAATGTGCCTAATGTGGAGATTCTTCCCTGCATTTCCTTGCTCGRCGTTGACAGTGGTGTCAGGGCGGTTAACGTGGAGCCACCTAGTCATAAAGACAAATATTGTCATGAGATCACTTTCAGTTTATTACAGCTTTTGTCCAGCAGACAGACACTAAGTGTCAGCTGCACTTTTCCTGCAACATAATGAGAGGTTTATTTGCACATTTTTATTACACTCAGCTGTCAACACGGTTTCTAAAATCTCTTTGATTTTACACCGAGCACTGATTTTTTTTTTCAAACATAGTTATCAGCAGATAAACTGGATTATCCCTGAACTGTGACTTTCATCCAAAGTTGCAAGGCAGTCAAGTCTTTAAATAGACAAACACAATAATAAACATTTTCCCACATTTGGACACAGGTGTTATGATCAGACATAAACCCAGAACATATGAAGTAATTTGCTGTTCTTTGTTAACAATAATTACTATTTATGTTTGAAAAAAAAAGATCTGAAGTTATTTATAGCTTCTTACTTGAACGATCATCAGAATCAACAAACTCCACAACTACAGAGTGTCCATTATTGGAGATGTTAATGGAGGTACAGCTGTCATAGTCCAGGAAAATGGGACCCAGGTCTCGGTCAAGCGTGGTCTCATCAGGGACGATGTCTATAGGGGACTGGCGGTTTCCCAAAGCAACCGGGTAGTTTATATGCCATGCTGAAGGCCCTTAAAATTAAAGAAAAGTGAGGTTAAAAAATTACAAAAGCACTCTTTCTGCTTTAATTTTCAAAAAAAGTGTATTTTTTAAAGCACTAAGAATTTATTTCTAAGATAACCAATTAAAAAGGATCAATTTACACCTAAAAATGTCATGCAAAAAAGGAATTAACACAATGGTGCAACATTTTCTTAAATCAACAGAGTCCCAATCAACACTCTCAAGTATGTCAGGGCAATGACAGAGCAGTCATCCTTTAAATAGCGACGCTAATCTGGCATTAACACCGTTTTTACACAGAAGTAAACATGCAGTGGTGATTCACTCCACGTGGAAAGGGCCTGCAAGGTGCCTGGGTGATAACAAACTTACCGTCCTCTTTGCCATATCCCCACTGGTCTCCTGTCATGATGTTTGCAGGCCGAGTCGGACCAAACACTCCGAGCTGCAGCGAGCACGTCGAGGACAGACACACAGATCAGCAGGTGCAGGTATCAATGAGGTTTATTAGGGCCAAGAAGGGAGGGGCAATTATCTCCCAGGTGACACGCCCCTTCATGCATGCAGTCACTCGCGCACACAAACACTTGGACCCACATTAACTCCTAACAATAAACTGACTCATAACAAGTGCGCTTGTTTTATTGCGATATTTCCCACATTTATGAGCTTGTTGCAAATCTTTTCCCAAAAAAAAAATGAAGCAAGCTTCAATTTCCAAAATTTCTGGGAAATAACAACAACATTTATTATTTTACTTTCCGTAATTAAATACACAATTAACTTCGTGTTGCGTTACGTTGTGGTTATAATTTGTGTCGAAAGTGCGCATTGGAGCTTTCACTCCGCTACATCCGTGTCGAATCTGGCTTTGCGGAAGTAAAAAYAAAAAGAAAAACACACCGTACACAACTCATTGAAAAGCTAGCATGGCAGCCACTAAAGACTCTAAAGAACAGAAATACGACAGACAGCTCAGGTTAGTTTAATCAACATCATAGTCAACGAAAACATTTTATTATTTTAGTTAAATATGAGGAACATGTATCGTGAAATAAGCCTCTCGAGACATTTGCCGAGCTAAAATGTTACTTAGCGTTAGCTTTCTTTGCACGTTAGCATGTTTGTTTGYGGTTACTGGACAGGCTACATTAAGTTTTTGTTTGTATTTGGCCGCCCATCAAAGCTGTCTGTTTTTATCATATCAATTGTCATTTTTTCGTATCCAGTATTATCCTAATTTCTGATAATATAACAAGATTTTCTCGGTCGATGTTGCCAACCCGGTAATGATGCTAATTTATTTTTTACTAGATGTTCTTGTTTGTGTTTTGTGCCTTCAGACTGTGGGGCGATCATGGTCAAGAGGCTCTTGAAAATGCACACGTGTGCCTGATCAATGCCACAGCAACTGGGACAGAGATCCTGAAGAACCTGGTCCTTCCAGGTAACCAGATGTTGTAGTGATTGTGCTGCTGATGCTGATGAGACATCTGTCTGACGGGGTACATTTTTGACAGGGATTGGCGCTTTCACCATAGTTGATGGCCACACAGTCTCTGGGGAAGATGCAGGAAACAAGTATGACTCTTTTTATAACATTTGATGTATTTATAATGAGTTTTCATARGTTGGTTTGTGACTGAATTCTTTATTTTGCAGTTTTTTTCTTAGCATTGACAGTATTGGAAAGGTAAGTTATTCTCTGTGCATTTATCTTATAAGTTTGATCAAATATTGTGTGTTCAAAATCTCAAATTAAAATGACTGTTTAGCAGAGTGGAGAAGGGGGAAAAGCTATTGGACCACTTATGTTAGTTTTGTTGTTGCAGAACAGAGCACAGGCTGCCACAGAACTACTACAGGAACTGAACAGCGACGTATCAGGAAACTTTGTAGAGGAGGTTTGTGTTGCTTAAACTTTGAAAATGTCGGTACAGATTAACTGAGAATTTAAAAAGCAGTTGTTAACCAACATTTACAGTTGGGAAATAAAATGACACTCTTCTGTTTTCTGTTATTCTAACAGAGTCCAGACAAGCTTCTGGACAATGACCCCGAGTTCTTCCACAGGTTTACAATAGTTATCGGTGTGCAGTTGCCAGAAAGGTACAGTCTKTCTGAGAGCGTTCGCAGAAATAAAGACTAATTGACATCTGTGATTGTGTTTTTTCTGTCGCCTTATCCTGTCTTACTTTTAACAGCACGTGTCTGAGACTCGGCTCAGTTTTATGGAGCGCCTCGGTACCTTTTCTAGTCTGCAAAACATACGGTCTCATAGGCTACATGAGACTGGTGGTGCAGGAGCACACAGGTTAGTCACACCACAAGTTGTCTTTTTCTATTTCACTTTATCACCCAGCAACATTTAATCATAGATAAGATCATCTGGACATGTTACACATGCATTGTACTCATTTTGTGTGTTTGTTTATTTTATCTCATCGTGTTTTTTTTGCTCCTTTTGTCTCCAGTGATTGAATCTCACCCAGACAATGCATTGGAGGATTTGAGGTTAGATCAACCTTTTGATGACTTTAAAAACCACATAAAGTCATATGATCTTGCCAACATGGAAAAGAAGGTGTGTAGTGCTTAATTATGAGACGTCAAAGCATTTTATCTACATTCTTTTCTGATAATTTTCCTTTCTAATCTCAATTTATTCTGTAGGATCACAGTCACACACCGTGGGTTATCATTGTTGCTAAATATCTGGAGAGATGGCTCAGTGAGGTAAGAAGCAAAGTTTTGTTGATTTTTCCTATAAGTACTCCATCTAAAGTATTTATTTGTCTTAAATTGTTTGTTGAGGGGGCTGCTGTAACTCGGTGGTCAGTGCCACATTTTTGTAATTTTGTAAGGGCATCCAAAATAATTTTGCTCACAGAAAAACAACTGCATTGTGTATTGTTTGGGATTGTGTCTTTGATCATCTCGCACTTCTGTTCTGTTTTTGTTGCAGCACAACAACCAGCCACCAAAAAATTACAAGGAGAAAGAGGCCTTCAGACAAATGATTCGAGAAGGTACGATTGATTCTCTGGAATGTAGCTTTTTTTTAATTCACTGAGTTGACAAACCTTTTTTTTATTAATTTCATCTTTTTTTTAACATTTTAGGAATCATAAAGAATGAGAACGGTGTCCCAGAGGATGAGGAAAACTTTGACGAAGCCATTAAGAACGTCAATACAGCTTTAAACCCAACCAAGGTGTCGGATCTAAAGCGCTGTTTGGTTTTTAATCCATGTTTTGTGTTTTTACTTTTAGTTTTTTTATATATCAACCTGCCTTTTCTCATAATATTCCTTGTTTCTGCAGATTCCCAGCACAATTGAAGACCTTTTCAACAGTGAACAGTGTAACAACATCACAGCACAAGTTTGTTTCTCATTTTTACTGTTTTTTAATTAAACAAAAATATCCACACATATTAATCAGCAAAGACAAAACAGTTGATATTAATATTTGTGTTTGTTTAGTCGTCGTCCTTCTGGGTGATGCTGCGAGCTGTGAAGGAGTTCACTCACAGTGAGGGGAACGGAAGCCTCCCCGTGCGTGGAACCATCCCCGACATGATCGCAGACTCTCAGAAGTTCATCAGGCTTCAGAATGTGTGAGTGTGGAACGCTGCTGCTGCTGAATCTGTGGCTTCATTCGTTAACTGATAAACGAGACACACCTGTAAACCAGAGAGTGGCTCTCTTGTTTTTGTGTTGTCACTGCAGTTACAGGGAAAAGGCCATGCAGGATGCAGCAGCTGTTTCTAAGCACATGGAATGTTTACTACAGTCTGTTGGAAAGGTATCAAGTCAATCTGAGCTCTTACTAAGCAGGATTTTTATTTCTAACCTGACAAGTTTACAGTCATTTACAGTAGATGTGAATTAAAACCATATATATATATTAGTGCTGTACCAAACGATTATTTTCTAATCGATTAATCTAACGATTATTTTTTTCGATTAATCGATTATTCTAACAACAAATCTATAAGTTATTCTGACATGAGTGCACAGGAAATTTAAAATGTTTTCATCAAATCAACAAGAACAGTTCTTTAATATTGTAATATTTTCTGTAATAGTTTTTTCATGGACACAAAATATGCACTCTAGAGTCAATTCTTTAACAAAAAAAGCTTAAAAGATTTAACATCAACATAAAATCTCAACCAAAGCATATAAAATTCAAGTAAAAGAAACATAGTACAAGATGTTAACAATCTAACAAATGAACTAAATCATGTAAAATTCAAGTCACTCTGGAAAAACTATAATAAACATTTATTTATTATTTTTTATTTAACATATTTCTCAATATATAAAAATMAACAAATATCAAGACAACATCCAACTCTTTGTATTGTAACACCAGTTGTGTAACTTATTTCTTTATGGTGAAAACTGTTGAAAACAACAAAACTGTTTTGTGTTATTACACAAGTTAAAATCCAGCTCCACGTGTTTCAATTGATGTCATTTCTCCACTAGAAAAATGTGTGATGGAGGTCCATGGAAGTCAAATAATTTTAAATCAAATAAACAAAAGAGGATGCAGTTAAAATTAATACAAGGTATTTAAGCTACGTTTTGAACACTTGTTGGCTGCTTGTGCTCTTTAGGTCAGACGTGTGTCGGGAAGCTCCTCTGTTGTTTGAGACGATGGGGGAACGTGGCTCGACCTAACACCGCTCTCTGTTTAATGGTGGATGAAATAAAGAAAGTGGTGGTACTTTATTTACTTTGAACAAGCGAACGTCATGTTCACAAGATAATTAATCCACCAGATAATTCAGAGGCAGTCTGGTAAATTTTACTCCAGGAGCTGCGAGGCTTGTTTTCAAGCTTCAGACTGAACTGAAGCAGCAGCTGCTGACATCATTACGCTCTTGTGCGATGCTGCGTTCAGGACAAGCATGGAAAACTCACCACTCTTATGCCAATACGGTTGCAATGATGCTTTTAGGTAACGAAATGGAATTGCATGAACATTCACGTGGTGGTTCTGTAATACAGAGAATCAATAATAAAAAATCTGCGTCAACAAATTTACATAATCGACGTCATCGATTATTTCAACTAATCGGTGCAGCCCTAATATATATAATTTTTTTTATTATTATTAACAGCTTAGAAAGTTGATATCAGAAACTGTTGAACAAAAACTGCACCTAGCCCCACCACAGTATGCATTTATAGAATAGATATTTTGGATTTTTTTTTTCTTTAAAATACTTCTAATAATGAGTATTTAATGTTTCATAATAGGGCTGCCACCATTAGTCAACAAGTCACAATTATGTCGACCATTAAAATCATCAACAACTAATTTAGTAGTCGATGCATCGTTTTTTTTTTCTTTTTCTCTAAATTTGTTTTTCTCTCTCCAAACAGCTGCAGCACCTTCCACTGCCACGTCTGCCTTTCTGTCCTTGACACACATGTGCAGTAGTGGTTATTAGGGCTGCCACAAACAATTATTTTTATAGTTAACTAATCACCGATTATTTTTTTCGATTAGTGGGTATGTCTAGGACAGAAAGGCAGACGTGGCAGTGGAAAGTGCTGCAGCAGTTTAAAGCGAAAAACAAATTTAGAGAAAAAAAAGATGCATCGACTAAATAAACCTTTGACGATTTTAATGGTCGGCATAATTTTGACTAGTCGACTAATCGTGGCAGCCCTGATTTATAACGTTTGTTTCCTTTTTCTTTAGCCACCAGAAAGCGTCTCTGAGAAGGACCTCAAGCTGTTCTGTAAGCGTTTTTATCAATAACTGTTTTAATTTTATTTTATTTTTATGGAACAAAAAAACCTTTAGTTTTAACTGTTGGTGTGCAGGTAAGAATTCATCCTTCCTGCGAGTCGTACGTTGTAGATCTTTGGAAGAAGAATATAATGTGGAGTCAATAAACAAAGATGAAATTAGTAAGTTGYATTTTATTTATTTTTATTTATTTTTTTAGCTTTTTGTCTTTGTTATGTTTCTTTTACTGTTTGCTCATCTATTCAGCATGAAACCTGTTGCTCTGCGTTCTCAGCTTCCTGTATGGACAGTCCGGACAGTGAGATGGTCTTCTACCTCATGCTTCGTGCTGTTGATCGGTTTTACCAGCAGCACTCCCGCTACCCAGGTACGTTATGTGTTACTAAAGGCCCTGTCTAACTTATGAAACATTTTATGTCTAAATTGCTAATAAAAGTTATATATTTGATCAGTTTTAGAATTACATTATGTACACTCTGAAAAGAAGCTTCCTGTTGATTTTTTTCAATTCCAGCTTCAATGTAGACGTCTTTAAAATGTTTATAATTTGGCATACGTTGTTTAGTGTGACAGGGCCTTTAAGCTATAGAAAGATGGAAAAATCAGGAGCTTTGGAAGAAATCTGCCATTTTTATAACRATAATTTGCAGGTCTGTCGGTGTTTTCTTAATCGTCACGTGTACAGTGAAGTTTTTATCATACTGTAATCTAATCTGTCACATCTCGTTTTTTAATCTTTGTTTTTTTTCACAACAGGAGTGTATAACTACCAGGTAGAGGAAGACATCAGTAAACTGAAGCTGTGTGTGATCAGCCTGCTGCAGGAGTATGGCCTCAATGTCAACATCAAAGACGACTACATCCATGAGTTGTAAGTCCTGTTCACTGCTTGTTTGGCTGTTTTTTTTTTTTTTTTTGAAAAGATGTTTAGAAAATCCTTTCAAATTGTTTTTATTTGATATGATTTCCCCTGCAGCTGTCGATACGGTGCAGCAGAGCCGCACACAGTTTCTGCATTCCTGGGAGGTAAAGTCAGTCTTTAAGTCTTTGCACACTGCGTCCATATTTACACACTGCTTCGAAATTCATATCCATCATTGTGTGTGTGTTTGTGTAGGATCAGCTGCTCAAGAGGCTATTAAAATCATCAGCCACCAGTTTGTGCCCTTCAACAACACCTTCATCTACAACGCCATGTCCCAGACCTCTGCCACGTTTCAGCTGTGAGTCCAGTCGCTGGTTCTGAACCGACCAACAGGAACGTCTGACGAAACGAAGGAGCTGAGATTTGAGTGGCCAAGGTGCTTCTTGTGGAGGGAGGGGGAAAAAGAAAATCGAGCGCTTGTCTGAGATTTTCTTAAAACTCTTTATCCTTCTGCAGAAAATATTAAACAAACCTGGAAGTAAAATAAAAAACTTTCATCTTTGATGATATGTAACATCTTAGCAGCACTTTGTATGGTTTCGTTTTTCTCCTGCTGTATGTTTTTGTTTCGTCGACCTTTATAAAACCTGTTCTGTTTCACTGTCGTACATTGCTGTAAAGGATTCCTTCAGTTTGTCTGATTGTGGTCATCTGTTTTCAGCGTGAAGGCTAATTTACTGTTTTAACTGCAAACAGGTGGAGAAACACTATTAAGTGACTAAAACTTGTATAATTTCTGAGGGAGATTCATTTAAAAGGTTTGTAGGATTATTTATTCCTGGTAAATGTTGTTTAGTGAGCAGGAAGGGAGGCCTGTAATCTGTTAGTCTACATGGTATTCTTTTTGTTCAACACTAGAGGGCGCTCACATCCAAGTTTGTTTACAGTCTTGAGCAGAGACGAAATACTGCGTTCATGCTGCTTTTTGGGTGTAATGAAGCAAAGGAAAACTGTTAGCAGCAGTCTGACAGGTTGTGTAATAAAGAGAATCGTGGTCTTTATAACAAACCTGTAATAAACAGCCATGTTTGAGAGCTAAGTTCTGCAGTTATTATGCCAGGTCAATTCAAGTAAATTGCTACAGGGGTCACAGTTACTGCAGGGCGACAGCTGAGGGGCCGAACATCCAGCAATTAAATACGTTTTATTAATAAGCCAAGTATTACCAAAATGTGTTTACCTTTGAAATAATTTATTTTGCTGCATTTAATCATGAATACAACATACAGAAACCTTTGTTCTAAAAGCAGTGATAATAAAACTCAAAAAGAAAACATGCCTCCTATTCAGCACAAATATTTTGACATCTCTGGCTTGCCAAATTTTTTAACCAATTTATTTTTACTTTCATAGTTGTAGCTTCAACGGCTTGTAGCTTTAACTATCTTGGATGTTCATAGAAATTGTTTTTACCAGCTTCTAGCCAAGATTTTGACATAGATACCATATATACAGTGGTTTGCAAAAGTATTCATACCCCTTGAACTTTTCCATATTTTGTCACATTACAACCACAAACATAAATATATTTCACTGG